TATTGCCTCGTGATGATGATGATGATCATGCTGATGATGTTGGTGTTGATGATGGTGATGAGGCTGATTATGCTGTTGATGGCGATGGTGATGATGATGTTGATGATGATGATGACGATGCTGTTGCTGATGATGATTATGATCACGATGACGATGCCGATGATGCTGACACTGGTGGTACTCATACTGATACTGATGATGATGATGATGCTGACGACGATGACTATGCCGATGCTGATGGTGATGATGATGACGATGATGGTGATGATGATAATGGTGATGATGCTGATGACGGCGATGATGAAACTGATGATGGGGGTGGTGGCTGTGGATGTGAGCATGATGAGGGTGATGATGCTGATGACGATGATGATGATGATGATGATGATGATGCTGATGCTGATGATGCTGATGATGATGGCGATGGTGATAACTATTATGATGATGATAACGATTATGATGTTGATGATGCAGATGATTACGATGCTGATGATGATGCTGATGATGATGATGCTGCTGCTGATATTGATGATGATGATGATGATGATGATGATGATGCTGATGCTGATGCTGATGCTGAAGATGCTGATGATGCTGACGATGATGACGCTGATGATGATGCTGACGACGATGATGCTGATGATGAAACCGGTGGTGGTGATGGTGTTGATCCTGACGATCAGCAGCAGCAGCGGCGTTGGGGTCAGGAGACCTTCAGCTGCAGCAGCTCCAGCAAGTGCAGGACCAGTGCCCCCCCCGCGGCGTCGGATCGGGGGAGCTGGGTGTCATGGTTCGACCAGCGCCGACTGGACGGAGAGGGATCTCTAGAGGTTTTACAAGGAGAGGGGGGCGGGGGGGGGACATGCTGACATATTGGAGGGATACGGGGATATTGGGAGGTGAGGAGGAGGATGAGGGAGAGACGCGGAAGAGGGAGGAGGAACATTAAAGGGAGGAGGACGGGGGGGAGGAGGAGGAGGAGGAAGAGGAGGTGGAGGGGGAGGAGGAGGAGGAGGAGGAGGAGGAGGAGGAGGAGAAGGAGGAGGAGGAGGAGGATGAGGGACGAGGAGGAGACGCGCAGGAGGAGGAGAAGGAGGAGGAGGAGGAAGTGTTGGGTGAGGAGGACTGGTTAGGAGGATGGGGAGGAAGGGGAGGGGAGGAGGGAAGAGCAGGAGGAGGAACGGGAGGTTGGAGGCGGAGGATGTGGAGGTTATTCGGCACTGATTCGGCGCTTCTGTGTTTGCCCCCATTTCTCCCGAGTCGACACGCATCCCGCCTTCCCCTTCGGCCGACTTGCGTGCGGCTTCCCAAACGTCGCTCTCTTGGCCGCCTCACACATCTGGTTTCTTCGCTCCTCATCTCCTCCTCCCCTCATCTCCCAGTTCCCTCCTCCCCCCTCCCTCTAACCGCCCCCCCGCCGCCGTCGATCGGGCGTTTCGTGTCCGGGGTGCCTGGGGCGGCTCCGTCTCGCGAAACCCCGGTCGCCGCCAGCCTGGGCATCTCCCACCAGACGCAGGAGCGCCGCCATGGTCGCTCCTGCCTGCCCGCGCGGCACCGCCGACAGCCGAGGCAGCGTCCGCCTGCTCCGTCGCGTCGCCGGGGCCCTCGAGGCCCTGGTGGTCAGGGGAAACGATCGGGGGGGATAGGCATAGGGTTATGATGTTCCAACCTACTTTAGCCTCGACCACCAGAAATAAGTTGGAGCACCAACACAATACCGAAACTGGAGGGTTTTCACGTGTCGGGCCCTGGGAGACACTCGTCCGACACTGTTTCGACACTGTCTCGACACTCTTTCGACACTTTTCCAGGTGCTCGAAATTATTTCTGGGATGTGGTCCTTCAGTACGATGGGAAGAACATAAGCATAGGGGGGATGCATCGACCCCCAATCGCCCATTGATCGCCGATAGGGGCCCGACAGCCCCAACCGCCCAGGAGGGTGCGGATTCACTATCGGAGGCCTATCGCCGATCTATCGGCGACGTATCCCCAATTCCAGGTCGATACTCCCCCCCCATGCCTGTCCCCCCCTATCGTTGCCCCTCAGGCGGGCCACCAGAGCGAGCACTACGAGGCTTCGTGGCCTAGGCTGGGACGGCGCGCAAGGATCCTGGTGGTGACGACGCTGCAGGCCCATAGCCTGGTCGCAAGGTGTCGTTGTGACCGAAGGAGCCTCACTGGCGATGCCCTGGGTACCCTCAAGAGGGCTTGTGGGCCTACCGTGTGGTGTGCTTTTGTGCCAGAGACGCACCAGGGCCAGTGGTTCGCAAGGCAAGGACGGCGCACCAAGAAGCACTGGGCAAGCGACGACCCCTGGCAGCCAGACCCAAGTCCAGACGGCGCCCAGCCAGTCCGAGCCAGGCAGGAGGCCGAGCTGACGCACTACGTTCGCAGCGGCTCGAAGCCTGTATGGCGAAGCTGCCTATGGCCCTGGAGGGACTTTGAGTCGGAGGGAGCGGCGGGAACGGACCAGCTACGAAGTGGGTTCGCAGAGGGGCCACCAAACAAGGAACTGGAACACCCGCATCAGAAGGAACCGCATCCGTGGATCCCAGCACTGCCGGGATCGACGGCCATATCGCCAACCTCGAGCAGACCATTTCCTGACCTTCGCCAGAGCGGGTTCGCTTTTGGGCCAGCTGGAGCAGGATCTCGCCAGGCTCGAGCAGCAGCGAGTGGCCATGCGAGGGCCACAGGCCGAGGTCGCATCCTCGGGGGCCAAGCTCGTCAACGCCAGAGCTTTTAATCAAACAGTGGCGAAGCGTCCCGGCGTGCCTATATCCCTACCAAACAATGTTCTAAGAACCTTTTGTGGTTTCCACGAAATGTCCTTGAAACATTTCTGGAGGAGCCTGTCTTCTTTTATCACATCGTTTTTATTTCTACGAAGCTTGTTTTTGTTATTCGAACATTGTTGGGTTCTAACAACATTTCGTGGTAGGACAATAGGAATACCGGGACGGTCGGCCCTTGCTCAAAAGACGGCCAAGCTGGGGCAGAGCTCAAGAAGAAGGTCGACGACGTCTCAGAGGTCAAGATGTTCGCCACAAGGGCGGAACAACAATGATACCTGGAGCTCCCAGGACAGGAAGAGGGTTTTTGAGGGCCTGGTGCAGCGCCTAGGCGTGGCACATGACGATGCAGCGGCGTTTTCAAGAAGCAGCACGACCTGACCAGTGATACCTATTCCGACAGCGGCTCGTCTGACGAGGATTGAGCTATTGCCAATGCGGCCATTGCCACATCATGGGGGTCCGGGCGAGATGCCTTTCCTTTTTTGGATGATGTGACGCGACGGGCTCTGCGCAGATCAGGATGATCAATGGCTTTCGCCCCCGCCGCAGTCAAGCGTAAGAGACACAGTTCGGATATGCAGTTCGGCTTAGGCAGCGCATCGATTTCTGGTTCGATCCCTGGTGCCGAGTGCGCTGGCCAGGGTGAGCGCGTGCGGGTTAGGCGCGGCCCCGAGTATTTGGCGTTATGGGTCTGTGCTCCGTGCGCCTGGAAGTGGGTCTCGGCTTCAAGGGCGGCGACCTCGACGTGCCCTGCGCGCTGCGGGGGCGCCGAGCTGGGCGCGGACTACCTTGGGTCATGGGCGCGGACTGGAATATGGATCCCGAGGGGGCGGCCGGCTGCGCGGGCCTCCAGATCCCCGGGGCGCGAACGCACGTGCCCGACGCGCCCGCGCGCCGCAGCTCCAGCGGCGCGCGCTGCATCGGGTGCCATTTCGTCGCGCGAGGGATGTTGGGCCCTGCGCTGCGCCTGCCGTGCGCGGGCGCCTGGCTCAGGCCTGCGATCCGCGCCGCGTGATGCCGCGCAGTGCGCCGCGCCCCCCCCCCTCCCCCCATCCGCTGGGCCCATCGGGCCGCGCCGAGAGCTTTCTGATTGGGCGGGCGCCCGCGGCGAGATCGACCGGGCCCACCGCGACACCGGGCTGGGGGGCCTTGGGCTGCCCAGGCAGAGCTGAAACGGCCCCTGCGGCAAGGGGCGCAAGCGGGCCAGGGCCAGCCAGGCCGGGCCGAGCGAGCCAGGCTGGCCTCAGTTCGACGCCTGGGGGCCGGCTTCCGAGCAGGGCAGTAGCGCCGTGGCGGCGAAATGCGGGGGATCCGTTCGACGCGCGGGGTGAAAGGCCGCCGAGGCCAGGCTCGGCGCGACGTGCAGAGCGACGTGGGCGCCGAGGAAGTCGGGGCGCATTTTGCAGTCGGCCTTGCTGCCAATGGAGACGGGGCGCGGGGAGGTGAGCCACTTCGCGCTCCAGGAGTTGCGCGGGCGCGGGCCGTGGCCGAGCAGGGGCGCGTGTCCTCGGGGCATTTCAGCTCGATCTACCCAGATCTCGACCCCGTCGGGAAGGCCGCCCACTCGCCGCCAGGCTGGTACTTCGGGGGGCGGCGGAGGGCCGCGGACTCGAGGCGCGAGAGCGCGAAGTGCCACCCGCGACCGTGTCGAGGCGGGCGCGCGAGCTGGCCTTCAGGGGCAGCGCAGATGGCAAGTCGGTCGCAGGCCCGATCAAAGCGGTTCTCCAGTCAACCGCCGCCGCAGCGGGTGGAAGGCGGAGAGCGCCGCCATTGTTCGTTTCCGCGCTTCGGCAGGCTCTCCGGACTCAAGCGCAGCCCTAAGCGGGCGGCGCGGATTTTCTTCGAGGGCAAGAAGGGCATGGCGCGCCAGGGCGGCCGACGGCGCGCGCGGTCGCGAGAGCGTCGCCGAGCAGGGTGCGCCCGCGATCTGGCGGGGCGCGGTCGCCAGCGCCCTCGCGCCCAAGCGCTTCGAGCCCCAGGAGAAGCGGGCGACGGCGCTGGTCGAGGGCGGCGCCTGCCTCGCGGGCTCCAAGATGGTCGAGTGGGGCTGCGGCGAGAGCGCGGGCGACTGCAGGCGCTGCCGTGCGCCGGACAGTTTGGCGCGCCGATTTGGAGCGCGCGCGGCTTTCGCTGAGGGCCGCGAGAAGGCGACGCGCCTGCCGTCGCCGCGTTCGAAGCGCCGCAAGTCGCGGGCGAGCGAAGATGGACTTGGTCCTTTCTGTCCGCGGGGCCCGCCCCCTGCTCGGCCCGGCGCGGCCTTGCCCGAATCGTCGGCGAAGCTGATCGCGCGTGCGTTCGAGGACGAACGAGAGATTGGACGCCTTGCGTTTCGCCTTGGCCAGCGCGGCCGTCGAGGCGGCCCGGCCGCCGATCGTGCTCTCGAAGTTGTTCGACGGGCGGGGCGGGCGGCGATTCGGAGGGGGGGGGCGGCGGCTTCGGCGCGGGCGAAAGCGGCGGTCCACCCGTGGCCGCGACGAGCTCGGAAGGGGGGGTGCGCCTGGGGGGTGCGTGGTTGGAGGCTCGGCGCGGGCCGATGAACCTGGGGCGCGCGCTGGCGCGCGGTCCCGCCCCGCAGTTAAGCGGGCTCATTTGCCGCCGCGCGAGAGACCGCCTGCGTTTGAAACGCCGTGTTTTCTGCGGCGTGATCTGCGCGGGGCGGCCGGAGGCCGCTGGCAGTGCGTCCAGCGCTCGAACGGTTCCCCCAGTTGGAAAATTGGGATGGCCTCTGAGCGTGGTGCGCTCGGCGCCCAAGAGCTGGCGTGGGCTGCGTGGGCGCGCAGATGCGCATGCGCTGTGGGGCGCGGTGATCGGCCCGAAGGGCACGTCGCCAGAGCACGGTGATTTCGGACTGTATTGTGCGCAGTGTGCACAGTACTCTCAGTTGTCGCCGCGTGGGGTGGCACAGAAGAGCCCCGCCCGGCGCCCTGGTTTTTTTCCTTGACAAGATGGGCAAGGAACGGCTGGGCCGCTTCGAGCGTGGCCTCCATTCCCGCGCTGTGAAAAAAGGAGGCGGTCTTGCAGAGTTGTGTTTTCCGAGATGCGGAGACCTTGCTCACGAGACCGAGAGCGCTGCTTAGTGCACCGCTGCGCCCGCTGGCGAGGCGCAGAAAAATGTCGCCGTCGATATCTCATCGGCGCACAGGAACCCGACACCAACACCAAGAAGCCACTAGAAAAGAAAACATTGCAGCCTCTGTTGAATGCCGTCGCCCGTGTCTTCGGGTTCGCGTGTCCAGAGTTGATGAATGCCAGCTCTGAGCGCGTGGGAACATAACGGGCCGTCTCCAGTTCCCCAAGTGAGCGTTCGGGTTTCCATGGGCCGCGCGAGCCCCGCGGGCCGTGCGAACCCAGCCAGCCCCATGAACCCCGCAAGTTCCACAAAGGGCTTCATGGGCCGAGCGTGCGCCGCAGCGCGCATAAGCCCAACGCGCCGCGCTGGCCCAGCATGCCGCGCGGGCACCATTGGCTCCCTGACTCGTCAGGGCCACATCTGGTTTCTGAGCCTTGGAAACCCCGCGGGCCATGGGGGCCCCGTGGGCCTCAGGGGCGCCATGAGCTGCATGGGGCGTTTCCCTATCATGGAAGCACCGTGGCTTGCAAAGTCGGAGAGCAATGCGAGCCATCTCAAGCTTTCTTGGCTTCGTTGGGTCGCTCAGCCCCCACAGGGAAAGCGCTCCGAATTTTTCCAGTGGCGTCTTGGTGCTGGTGCCGGCTTTTTGTTCCCTGCAACATCAAAAAGCCGACACCAGCACCAAGGCCCCCACTGGAACGGCGGCCCCATGTGCGAGCTGAACCCCTCGACGATTTCGGAAGGTTGCCGCGGGCTGCGGGCCTGGGTCAAGAGGGGGCCACGGTCTTATGCCCAGGCCGCGACGGGCGGCCACCGCCCCCTTTCGCAGAGAGCGGCGGATTCGAACTCGTCGGGCCTTGGTGTCGGGCCAGACGAGGGTCAGGGATGCGACGCGGGCGGACATAGGGTGGGTGAGGGGTGGGGGGAATGAGAGGGGGGCGGGCGGGCGGGGGTAGGCGTGGTGGAGGGCGGCGGTGGGGGGAGTGAAGCTTCAGCCATGGGGGATGCCGCAGCCTTCCCTCTTCTCTCCCTCTTCTCCCGAGAGCGCCCGCTAGTTTCGCTTCTCGCTTGCACTTGTTATTTCCTGCTTTCCCTCCTGCGTGCTGCGCGACGTCTCCCCTCCCCCGTCCTCCTCGCCCACTCTGCGATTCCTCAGGCCAGGGCGGGCTCGCGCTGGTCCAAAACGCAATTCGACATTTCGTGAAACAAATACTTTCTTGGTGCTGGCGTCGGCTTTTTGTTCTCCCATCTCAACTCTCGCCGCCGTTGCTGCCGCCATCGCTGTTCCCTTCGCCGTCGCCGGTGCCGCTTCCGTTGTCGCCGCCGTCGCCGTCGCCGTCGCCGTCGCCGTCGCCGTCGCCGTCGCCGCCGCCGCCGCCGTCGTCGTCGTCGTCGTCGTCGTCGTCGTCGTCGTCGTCGCCGTCGTCGTCGTCGTCGTCGTCGTCGTTGTCGTCGTCGTCGTGGTCGTCGTCGTCGTGGTCGTCGTCGCCGCCGCCGCCGCCGCCGCGGCCGCCGCCGCCGCCGCCGCCGCCGCGTGCGTCGTCGTCGTCGTCGCGCCGCGCGGCAAGGATATCCTTCTGGGCCCGCGGCGCCCCCTGGCAGGGCTTCTCTGTCGTGGCCAGGCGCACGACGGAGCGCTGGGCCGCGCGCGCCGAGCGGTCGTGGTCGCCGCTGCCGTCGTCGTCGGTGCCGCCGTCGCCTACGTCGCTCGCCGCGCCTGCGGGGGCGAGCGCTCGAGGCGGCAGACTTTGTTGTCCTCCCCTTCCATCTCGCGCGCCGCTCGCAGCGAAAGCCTCCTTCGCCCGTGCTGTTCTGTCGCTCTGCCTCCACTGCTCGTGCGTGTTTCCTGCTCCTGCTGTTCGCCCGCTCTCATTGAAAGGGAACTTCAAGCAACGGCGAAACGTCCTGGCTCGCCTGTAGCCCTACCAAACAATGTTCTAAGAACCTTCTGTGGTTTCCACAAAATGTTCTTAGAGCATTTCTGACGGAATCTGTCTTGTTTTAACACCTCGGTTTCTTGTTATTAGAACAGTTCTGGGTTCTAAGAGCATTTCGTGGTAGGACAATCGGAGTGCCGGGACGGTCGGTCCCTGCTAAAGAAATGCCCAACGGTTGTTGAAAGTAGGTATTTTGGGATTCTCAGATTCCAATCTACTTTGAGCGCCTGCCTACTTCAGTGATCGAGTGGCTTCACCTTTTCCGTTCTCCTGGGGGGGTTGGCGGACGCCCAATCTATACTATCAACGCCTTCCTACTCCATGTTTCCACGTACTTTTTCCGACCGAGGGGTACTGCTGATTCAGGTGTCGTGGCGCAAGCGCACCTAGCTCGCTCCCCTCCTCCCCCGAACACCCCCTCTTTGCCCCCGTCACTGGTGTCTCCTGTCCTTCCGTTCTCGCCCCCCGCCCTCACCCCTCCCTCCGCCACTCGTCTCCTCCCGCCCCTCTGCCTCCCTTTTCTCTCTTGTCTATCTTTGTTGTTATCCGTACTTCGGCCCCCTGCCGCCCGCTCCCTCTCTAACAGAATTTTAGATCTCAGAGTCGCCGCGGTGCGTCTCGGCGCTGCCTTGGCGTACCTGGGAACATCATGCGGGGGCGGATCGGAATCATCAGCGCATGTTGAGACTTTGGCGTTATCGAAGACGCCTACGGCGAATCACCGCCGCCCCTTGCCTTTTTGGAAACGCCTATGTGGCCGAACGTTGAGGCCAGACCTGCCAAGCTATCGGACCACGTGTTCCCCGAATCGGTTTGGAAAGCCTTCGGGGAACACGTGGGCATCTTGAAGGTCATCTTGGCCGTCTTGGAGGCCTCTTGGGCAAGCTTTGGGCGATCTTTGGGGCTTTTTGGGCCGTCTCGGGCCAGCTTCGAGCCAACTTCGGCCATCTTGGTGGGTTCCTGGCACGTCTGAAGCCGTCGGAAGCCGTTTGGGGGGCCTCTATGGGCCGACTTGGGGCCCGCTTGGAATGCTCCAGGGCCGTCTTGGAGGCCATCTTGGGCGTCTGGGAGGCCATCTTGGGCGTGTTGGAGGCCTCTTGGGCCCTCTTGGGGCCCTCTAGGGGCCATCTTGGAGGCCACTTGGGCCATCATGGGGCTCTCTTGGGGGCCTCTTGGGCGATCTTGGGGGCTTCTTGGGCCGTCTCGAGCCGTCGGAGAGCCGAAAAGGCGCAAATGCCAGAATCCTTCAAAAACCAAGGAAAAATCAATGATTTTGGCCTCTTCGGACTCTCCTGGAGGACCTCTTGGACCGTCTTGGGCCGTCTTGGACTCTCTTGGGCCGTTTTGGAGGCCGTCTTGGACCATCTCGGGCGGACTTGGAGGCCATCTTGGGCCATCTTCGCGATTTTTTGAGGATGTCCCGAGCGAAACGGCCGTTTTTTGGAGGATGTTTTTCCGGATTGAGGTCCTTTCGGCTTCCTCCCGGGACCCCGGCGGGACGTGCCGGAGCCCACTGGGGAGTTCTTTTGGAAAAAGAACCAAAACCAAAACCTGAAACGTCCAGCACGCCGTGCACCCCTGCAAGCAGGGGGCGGCGGATCATGGTGGCCTTCGGCCCATCCCGCCAGCGTGCCTGGGTTGTGGGTATGAGGCCTCTTGTACATGTGCTGGGGTGTCGTCGGAAGCCTTTCGTGGGCCTCTTGGAGGCGGTTTGGGCGCCTCTTGGGGTTGGGGCCTCGAGGGGTATCTTTTGGGCCTCTTGAAGGCCTCTTGGGCGCGTCTTGGGGACCTCTTAAGGCTTCTTGGGGGCCTCTCGGCGGCATCTTGGAGCCTCCTGGGGGCTTCTCGGGGCACAAATATCGAATGTTCGGTTCGTGGTCCCCTGCTTGGGCCTTTCTTGGGGCCGTCTTGGGACCCTCTTGAGCCGTCTTGAGCGCTTCTTAGGCCATCTTGGAGCCCCCTTGGGCCGTCTTGGGGCCCTCTTGGAGGCGTCTTGGGCTGTCTTTGGGCGGCCCTGGGAGATGGCGAAATTTGCGAGGTCTGTGGTTTCGGGGACGCGGAAATGGGGTACTTTATATAAATTGGGCGTCGCGTAATGGGGGGGTCGTAAATGGGGGGGTGGCGAGGGTGGTCCGAAAAGGTACCCAAACGGTACCTGAACGAGCCCCCTGGGGCTCCGGAGGGGCCCGAAAGGAGCACGAAAGGGGACCGTTTCTGACCCTCCCATTTGTGACCCCCCCGTTAAGCCACGCCCAAATAAAAGGGTTTGATGCCTCGGGGGCGCAAGCACTGCATAGTTTACGGGGGTCTTGTGGCCTCGGGGACGCGAGCATGCTGTAAGCTGCAGAGGACTACGGCCTCGGGAACGCAGGTCTCGCGCAGTTTCGCGTGCTCCACGCCGCCCCCCCCCCGCATCCCGAGGACGTGACTCGGGCGTGGTAACCGAGCGGTTTGGGGCCTCCCTCCTCCCTCCTCCCTCCTTCCTCCTCCCTCCTCCCTCAGCCGTTCTGGCCCAAGTTTTTGGGCTTGCAGCAGCAGTCTTCAGAGCGGCAGCCGCTGCTGCGAGTCATTGTGGCAACTGCGTTCTTGCGCCTCCCTGAGGCATCCTCTTCCGCGCCAGTGGGGCGCCCCATGGCAGATGGTGTCGATGTCTTGCCAGGACCGCGCACACCATTCTGGTCGTGTTCGTGTGGGCTCTCGTCAAGCTGGGCTTCGCCCCTGGTCTGTCGCTGCGGCAAACCCGCCCCCGCGGCGGTGGCCAAGGCAGCCCGCGGGAACGCAAAGCATGCTCAACGTACTACTGCTGGCGGTCAACAGCCTCGTCAGGGTCTCGGGGCTCGCACTGGCAGCATCACAGCGGCAAAGCTCTCCAAGCAGTTTGCCGAACTCCAGAAGAAGTATGATAAATTTGTTGGTAACGGCAATGGTGGTAGGACTCACACTGCTGGCGGGCCCCCTGTCGGCGCTGGTACTCCCCCAGAACCGAGTGAAGGTGAACGTAAGGAACAAGCGCTACGTGACAACATCAAGCAGCTGGAACAGGCCCGCACCGCGGTGGAGAAGGTGCCCAACAGTGATGAGGCCAAGGCTGTTCTGGATGCGCAGTTGTCTGAGGCGCGCAAGCAACTATCTAGCTTCAAGCCTGAGCTCACGGTCCACACCAACATTGGGCACCGTTTGCGGCGGGCTGAGGCCAAGGTCGAGAATATATCAGCTCAAGTATCCGACAGCTCGACGTTCTTCGTTTGGCTCAGGAGAAGTTGGGCAGCCCGCAATCGCAACACTTGTTGGCGTCTAAGGAGGTGGAGCAGCTACGTGGTGAGCTCGTGGCGACACTCCCATCCTCTGTGGCCCAGAAAGATGTCGGGCTCGATGTGCAGGACTTGGCGGATAATGATGATGAGCAGGCTCAGCTGGATGCACTCTTTCAGTCTTCCCACTTCAAGCTCTACCAGGAGGCCCTCGCGAGGAAGGCCAAGGCGAAGCATAGCAGTTCCCGTGCTGCTACTTCGCCCTTCGATCAAGATGGTGACGTTCGTATGGGCGAGCGGAGTGGGTCACCCGCAACGGCACGCGATGCAGCTACTGCCAAAGGTACCCACCCTGCCGCTGCCGCCCACGATGGAACAAGTACACCCCCTCCAGCTGCGCCAAGTACGCCCTCGCCAGCTGCAGCTGGCGATGCAGCGCGAGCAGCTGGAGGCGGAGGCGACCTCGGTGGACTACATCATGAAGTCCCACCAGACCCCGAGCTGGACCAGGAGATGGGTGCGCTCTTCTGGGCCGCCCAGCGCGTGGACAAGCGGATCTTCCACGTCCAGCTTGCTGAGCTGCTGGCCAAGCGGCGGCGCTTGGGGTAACCCGCCACGTTTACCTAGATGCTGTGGTTTTCGCCTGACGCGCGCAGGCACTGTGCAGCCTCCCCCCGCTCCTCCTCGCCTCGACGCCGATTGTGAGGGCTCGTCTGGCTATGGTGAAGTGCTCGAATCCTATAACGGCAACTCTTGGGGGACCCTGAGGGACAGGCTGGCGGCCAGTTCGGCCCTCATTTTTCTGGCCCAAGAGGTGGGGTTCACTGAGGGCTCCCTGGGTGAGAAGTGCGCGGCTGTGGGTAAGTTGGGGTGGAAAATGCTGGCCTCCCCGTCGACGGTTGGGGCCAAGGGTAGGCCCGAATGGGGGGTTGCGGTTCTTGTGCGGACCCATATCGGCCTAAGATGGCCAGTCTGCGGCGGCGTCATTGTGCCGTCTCGAGTCATGAAAGTGGTGGTTGGCATCCCTGAGTGCCCCCCTCTGTCCGTCGTCTGTTTGTATCTGAAGGGCGGCGCTGGCATGTGTAATCTGAACGTGTCTTATCTGAAAGCTATCGGTCGTGCTTTAGAGCACGACAAGCTCTTTGTTGTCGGGGGGGATTGGAACTTGGACCCTGCTCTGGTTGAAATGTCTGGACTGGTGCGGCGTCTCGGCTCGCTGCTTTTTGTCCCCCAGGTAAGACTTGTGTCAGTGCCAATGCTCTCAGCACTATCGACTTCTTCCTGTGCAGCTCGACTTTCACGCGAGCCGTCAGCAAGGTCGAGTGTGATCGTAGTTGGAGCACCCGACCGCACCACCCAGTGCGATTGCAGCTCAAAGATCAGGCCACGCGACTGTATCAGCTAGTGTACCGTTGTCACCAGAGACCTCCCAGTGGAGCTACCA